CCATCACGTATGGAGAAACCGAGTTCAGTTGTCCCTATCATAAGTTAAATACTCAATTCCTATAACCCTCAGCTTGTAAGGCAAACAAAAAAAAAATCTCAGCTCATGTGTGTAATTAGGGTAAGAGGATTCCATACCACTCTTTGCAGATTTTGTTGAGAACCATAATAACTATCAAGATTTGCTTCTCTGGAGCCTAATTCCTACAGAAGTCGAAAAAAGGAAAAAAAAATTACAACAAAAATCATTGCATCAACTTCAAAAGAAAGTAAGATCCTCTTGAAATATCTGAAGTCACAAACAGAAATTCATACCACTGCTTGCATATCCTGTTGTGGAGCATAACTGTTATCAAGAGTATGTGCTCTTGAGTACATTTGTTCCTGCATATAAAACTCATATGAAATCCATCACTATAATAACATATCAAACCGCATAGTACATGTTCATATTCGATAGAATTCAGTTAGAAATATGGCAAACCATCTGCTGGCAGCCGTCTTCTGGCCGGTTAGTTATTCCCACTGGCTCACTCTGTAACTGCAAAATGTAAATAATCTACTTTAGAGCTGTGAACCTTTAAAGATAAAAAGCGCTAAGTCTGCATGTCCAAGTTACCTTTCTTTTCTTATGTATTTTCTTTTTCTTTGAGAATTTGGTTCCAATGTTGCTGTTATTCTCCTGTCCAATGTCAAGACAACCATGATCAGCTAAGGTACTTGGCTCTAAAACACTCCGAACAGAGTTGTTTACTCCAACACAGTGTTTCAAGGCTTCTTCTAATGCCTGAAATGCAATACTATACGCTTCATGAGAAAAGGATGCCACTTCTCCCAATTTGATGGCTCGTTTACAAAGATCATTGAAACGTTCTACCCGAAAATGGAGCCTGCCTGACCTTTCATTATTTTTTTTCTTGACATTTGCATCTATAGTCCAACGCTTCAATATGTAATGGGATGGAATGTCAGAAACACCAGAAATTTGAAGAACAAGGATAGCATGTTTACAGAGAAAACCCCTATATTCAAATGAATGGCATAAACAACATAATTCCAACTGTGACTCATTCCAAGTTACAAGGAAATGTTCACGTTCTTCAAAATCATCAACATGAAAGACTACTGTTGGACCGTCTTCACTTTCTTTCCGCACTTGACAAGAAACTGCTCCCAAGACCTCAACCTGGAATTTCTTGAACACGGTTTCTGTATAGATAGTGGACACTTGTTTCTCAAAAGGTGAGAAAGATCTTAATGCAGGTCGTTTGTTCCGCATTTCAAGGTCCGCATTGACCTCCATGTCATACCTGTCTTGCAGAAATGTTTTATGTTGCTCAATTAAGTCCTTAAATTTAGCATCTTTATGGATGCACTTGTCAAAGAAAGAAGCAATACTAGCTGATCGCTCAGCTGTAGACATTCCAGCTAAAAATGTGTTCCGCATATAAGTTGGGACCCATTTCTTACGATCTTCATATATTGAATGCATCCACTCATTCTCCTTCAGTTCAAATCTACCAACCATCTTCCACCATCTCCTCTCAAACTGTTCATCTGTCCCAGAGCGATTAATGCATTTGTTAAATTTCGCCATAAAACTTTCATCATGATTACAATGCAAGCCAAAATTTTCAGGAATCTTGCTCACTATATTCCATAAACAAAAGCAATGGCGGGTGTTAGGAAATACTTCTTCGATGACTTCTTTTAAGCATTTATCTTGATCTGTAAGAATCACTTCAGGAGCTTGGCCACCCATTGCTTTAAGCCATGTCCGCATTAACCAAGTGAATGATGATGCACTCTCATCCCCAATCAATGTGCAGCCAAGTAATATGTACTGGCAGTGATGATTAACTCCAATAAAAGGAGCATATGGAATTTTGTAGTTGCTCCTGACATAAAAAGTGTCAAAGAATACTACATCAGAGAAGTTGCTATAATCATGCCTGGATTTTGCATCAACCCAAAGGACATTTTTCACTTGTTTATCACTGTCAAAATCAATTGCATAAAAGAAACCTGGATTCTTGTCTTGCATACACATGAAATGCTCAAGCATTGCCTGCACATCTCCATCATCTAGATATAACTGCAGGCCTTTCTTTTGGCATGAAATTATGCCTGATTGCTTGTTCCTTCCCTTGAGAGCATAGTAGAAATCATCTTGACAAATCTCGTGGTTATGCTCCTTCAAAAAATTATGTACTATCCATTTTTCATCTTGCCTCCTCTTTATATGCATTCCTGCCTTGCAGCCTGTCTTCGGACAGGATCGTGGATTGACAGTTGTACTAGACTCACTCTTGCTTCCAAATCTGGAGCATGAAATTTTTACATCAATAAATTTTCCAGATTTCTTTGAACGACGACTGGCTTTTATTGTGATTCCAAACCCAACAGCTCGAGCATACTCTCTATAGAAAGAGTATGCTGCCTCTTTAGAATCAAATTCTAAACCATTTTGGGGCTCACATATGAGACCCTTGTTGACAAAAGATGTTCCATCGTTGCTAAAATCCACCTGCTCTCCATAAACAGGAATGCTTTTATTTTTATCTAGTTGACAAGCCTCCTTTACATTTTCACTTCTTGAAGGCAAGTTTAGATCTTTATTCTCAATATCAATTCCATGTATTTCATTTGCATTTGATCTGTCATCCAACTTCTGCTCATGTGAAGGGATTTCAAGATCTATCTCCATGGTAGAAGTAGAATTTATTTTAAGAAATCATGCTTCCCTAAGTACCTGAGTTTTTGAAAAAGAAGAAAAGGAACTGGTAACAGATGTATTTGACTGTATTACAGCCATCTAAAAAGAGAAAGAAAATGAAATTTATGTCAAAATCAACTGATATTATTCTTAACCCTGGGAAAAAATTATAAACAAATATAGAACCTAGCAAACCAACAGAATTGGCAACAACTATTAGTCCCTCAAAAAAATATCTAGTAACAAGATATATAACTGCATGTCTATCGTCCAAGTAACACATAAACAAAAATGACTTTAGCTGCAAATTTATGTGTGCTTGAATAATGTATGTAGGACATATTGTGCATGTTCAGACAGAAAAGCAAAACCATATGCAGGCATTCACAAATAGAGGGAGGAGTCATAAAAGGTCTCTATAACTGCCACCATGATCTGCTTTAAAATAGGTACTCTTACGTTCTTCTGTGAGGATGACAGATCCAAATAAAGTACATATAGAAGTTTACAATACTCTCCTAGTTTTCAACTAGTTTGTATGTCACATAGTTAACAACCTCTAATCAGTCAATACAACCATGAAAAGTTTAGGCTGTCATTCCTTTACGTTCAGCTAAATAGATTACCATCAAGATTGACTGCGAATATCCCTTTTCTAACTTCTCAACAGCCTTATCAAGTAGGATAGAAAGTTACAGTATCATTAACAGAAATTCTATTGTAAAGTTACTGAATTCAAATTTCAATCATATGAGGACCCAACTGAGCAATGCTTTTAGCAGTCTGAACAGCAAATATCGTCCTTTACCTTGCAGATAAACATGGACAAACCCTTCAAACAGATTCACCAAACTTACAGTCAGAACATCTATGACAGTGCAGAGTCTTCAATAATCGATGAAACACACAAGAGCAAGGCATTTCACCAAACTTACCCAGCTTTTTTTCCCCAAATTGATAAAATCGCAGGAAACAGAGTCTTCACTACTGACTTGGCGTCAACCGTAAACCCATTGCTGCTAATGCAAATTCAATTTCTAGGATTAATTTGCCTTAATTTCCTTAAAAATCTCAAAATTACTCCATGAAAACAAAACAAAAAAAGACTTGGCAACGCAAAAATTAAATAAAACAGTGAAACTCCATGGAAAATTGGAAATCCTCAAGCTTACCTAAGCTTATCAATTATCGACTAGGCTCTCTATTTCTCGCTTTTCTTGTTCTTCTCTCCTCTCCTCGTTCTCCCCTTGTACAATACTATCACAATTTTTTGGTTACATATAAAAGCAGAACCAGTAACAGAAAAGAAGGACGAATAACTGGAAGAAGAAAGTAGAAAGAAAATCTCTGCTTCCCGTCGTTCATGTTTTTGATTGGAGGGAAAGAAAAAAAGACTTGAAGGATTTTCTTTTGCACGATTATAGAAAATAACTAAAATAGTTTCCTCCTTTTTTTTTTTTAGGATATGTCTTGAAGAAGTGAATTATTATTAATAAAATTAATAATTTATTAAATTAAATTAAATATTAATAAATTTTTTTATATTTAAGTTTTTAAAAATTTAATTTAATCTTGTTAATACTAGTATTTAATAATTAAATAAATTTTTTTATGGTAATATTAATAACTTTACATTTTAATAGTAAATTTCTTCTTCTACAGTTAATGGAATCTCCCATAATATTAATAAGAACTTAAAATTCAACTCCCTTAATTTTAATTACTTTACTTAAACCAATTTTTAATACCCAAGTGGTTGTCCATAAAATCATCAGAACACGGAATATATATATGTATGTATGTATATACTGGATTATGCAAAATCTTGGTTCGACCATAATTCAATATTTAATATAAAAATTAATGTAGACGATGAATTCAGATAAATATAAAATATTGATTGTGGAGTTGATATTTGGATATTCTTAATCTGGAAATGTTTTGTACAAGTTAGCGCATAATTCAGTTTTAAAATTTTCCTGAGAATTATACAGATCAATTTGTCAGATAATTAATTAGCTACATAAGTACTGTGTATTTATTATATTTAAAATAACTTCAGAAATAACTTAATTGAAAGAATTGTATTCAAATGACAAAATATATATATATATATATATATATACTCGGAATAAAGTTCAAATAAAAATTTATAATATTTGATAAAACTTCACAACTCACTAGTTTATTAATAAAATTACAATACTTAAAACTTTTATTTGGAATAAACACATCGGATTAAACTCCACATTAACCTTTTTTTCCTATTAAAATGAAATATGAAGAACTACCAAAATTAACAATTCAACTAGTTTATTTCGTTTTTATTAGCATTCTCATTTAATAGTAAAAAGTGCAACTCATCCAGGAAAAAGAACAACAAGCACAAGGCTGGATCTGCAAAGGACATTTCATCAAACAATTAAAGAAAATCACAAAAGAATTTACAGAATGCAGATTCTATCATCTGTAACAAAGATTAACCAAGGCACTAACCTAGTCTTTGGTCTTGGACATAGAACCAAGCTGCTTTATCATAGATACTCAGGTATACTTCAGAGCCTCAAGCTGCCTATTTTGATTATACACGGATGACTCAAGAAAGGCATGTAGCCGGCCTATATTCGAAGTTCTTCCCGTTTAAAACAAATAAGAATATTTCTAATTTAAGGTTAGATCCAGACTAATACTGAGTCATTTTTCCTTCAAGGAGGAACTTCCAATTTTCTCGATTTGTTTCCTATATAACCACAATAATCCTAACCACGATGTTACACTACTTTCAATGGCCAAATAATATCAAATCTATATAAAAGGGTGTTTCCTACGGATGCCTTGATGAACTGCCATGTAACTGTGCCGATCTCAAATGAGCCTCCTCCTGCAATTAAGGTTAAAAGCCAACTACATGTAGTAAAACCATGGTTTTTGAAGAGTAGTGTATATTATAAGGTGACAAAAGAGTTCATTCGGTAGCAAGCAGACCTGCAAAGCATAAGTGAAACTAGACGAAGGCCGGAAATCCAATTGTCCCTACAAAATTGAAACAGTTAAAAAGAGTATATTAAGTCAAAGGAGTACTTAGGGTACTTATGTAAAGTACACCTCATATAATTAATTGTTTATTTTTTTCTATTTAAAAAACTTATAAATATAGAATTGCAATATTCAATAAAATACATATTCAATTATTTTTAACAGAAATTACAATCTTCAAGTAAACTGCCCATTGCTAATGATGAAATGCCATACCAGACCATGCATGCCTTGTTGAGTTCCAAAAAAGCCATCATGGCTGGGAGCCATAGAAGTCAGTTGTCCCTATAATTGCGCATAATATACCCAATTTAATAAAGGATAAAGCATTTGTAGAACTATTCTTTTTAGTTACTCCAATATCACTCACCAGCCCTTGCATGCTCTGTTGATTAACATAGTAGCCATCATGGGGTGGCTCCATTAAGTTTAATTGTACCTATGATAAGCACCAACTTCGAACATTATTGTGAAAATCATATGAGATTTCTAATAACATCTATTTGGCACAATAAGAAGATCCAAAAATATCAATTTAATACCAGTCCTTGCACATTCTGTTGAGCACCATAATAACCACTAAGGGCCATTCGGTCTGAGCTGAGATTTTCCTGCAGAAAAAAGCCTAACTTAGAATTTGAACATCCACATTAAACTGCAGGGAGATAGAGAAACCATCTTTAATACTTCGTGGAGATTTATTTAAATACCATCCTCCCAAACTAATTAAAAAATAGCAGCAGTAGGTGCAAGCCAGAGTGCCCCTCATCCCCCAAAAAAAAAAAGAATAAGCCGGCTCATCTTTTTATTACAGGCTATTGTAACAGGAAAAGAGATTAGGACAAACCATTTGCTGCAA